AATGCTTTCCGCCACTTGATGTGACGTAAATTCCACAAACCCATAACCTTCGGGCTGACCTGTTAGTTTGTTTCGAATTACTTTGATTGAGAGCACCTGAAAGGGCAATTTCAGTAAATTAACATCCACAACCAAAAACATCAGCCATTGACATGCTTTCAAATATTTTGAGTTCCTATTGCAGCAAAGGGTGAAAACGCCACAAAATTAAATCTTGAACCCTATAAAAAAATACAAACAAGAAGCCTAATACCATGAACCCTTATGTAATCAGCAATAAACCCAGTACAAAAATTTAAAGAAAAATTCACTGGGCACGGTGCAGGCTACACAACAGACGGCATTTATGTATCTTACTCTTTTTTCATATTTTTACAAATTTTCAAGGATTGAAATCTAGAACAGATTAGGTACCTCGCCAGTGTGCGAGAACCAGCCGCGGAGGTAGTTCTCGTCGGCCCAGTAAGGCAAATCCCCAATCCAAAGGGTACGAACTTCTTCCAGCGTAGTCGGCTGGTGGTACGGCGCCGTATGCGTGCTCATTCTTACTTCTTAGTTCCTTAATACTCGAGCTTCTCGGTTTCGATGGCGGAGTTTTGGTGTCACACTTAGTGATGAAAGGAGGAGGGCTTCGGCTATTTCAGGCTCGTCTAGGGCAGCTGCTGAAGAAATCAGCACCGCGCCAACCTCCAACTGTGGATATAATTTGCGAAATTCCTATCTAAAATCAAATTTCATTTTATTTAAAATATAGGAGTTTTTTTTTAATACAATGGCTTGAAACATAGATAAACTATCAAATAAATGTTATAAAACTATTAAATTAAGTTTTAGAATTAACAAAATTCATAACATCATTAAATTGAGAGTTAACTTAAAATTTTAAAAGACCAAGTATGTCACAAAGTAAAAAGAAAAAAAAAGGAAAAAAAATAAAGAAAATTAAGGAAAATACGAGATTGTTGGAGAAAATTAAGGAAAGTATAAAGTTGTTGCTCGGTTTTCTTGCTATCGTCTATTTTTTTTAGAAAAATACTTATTATTTTATGTGAGTAAGCACCAATTTTTTCTTTTTCTTTTTTTTTTTTTAAACTCTAAATTTGATGGTGTTGTAGTTTTGTTAGTTCTATGACTTAATTTGATAGTTTTATAACATTTAAGTCCCAAATTGAGAAAAACAAAATTCAAACCCCGATTTGATAGTTTACCCATCTTTCGAGTCTTGTATTGAAAAAAAACTCCTTATATATATACATATATATATATATATATATTAGTACGAACACTCGTGTATTACACGAAATATTGAATTAATATATACATACATAGAGAAAGAGAAGGGAGCATAAGAGAATTGTAAATAGTGAAATAAATAAGACTGATTATGGATTATTGGATCAATTATATCAATGGCTATGATGAAGTCAAAATTGAATAACAATGGGCAATCATTATGTGGCAAAATCGTAAATGCATGAATATCCATGGCCAAATAAATACATCAGGGGGCATTTCACTGTTTTTCAACCCGGACCGGCCTGGCAGGTCGACCCGTGACCCGGCAGACCCGAAGCTGGGACCGGTCCGGGTAGGCTATTTGGACCGGGTAACAACGAACCCGGTCAAAACCCGGCCAACCCGTCCTCGACCCGGTTGACCCGGGCAATTGACCCGGCCGGTTGACCCGGTCCTTATATATTTTTTATTTTTTTTAAATATTTTTATTATACAAAATTAAAATTATTTAAAATATTAATATAGTAAATATTTATTGTGAGATATAATTCATTTAATACTTTGATGTACAAATTTTATATGCAAAACATTTATTTTTGTTATTTTTATGTATATTTATATGTCAAAAATATTATTATATAATTTAAAAAATTTTAAAATTAATTATCCGGTTCAGTAATTGACCCGGTGACCCGACGGTTGAACCGGTGACCCGGTGACCTGGAGACCTGCCCGGGTCAATTTCCGGGCCAGGTTTAAAAACTATGGGGCATTTACATAATTCATCATACACCAAAAATCAATGGGCCCCACACAAAAAAAAACCATGATCTATCTCCCCCCCTCTATCTCTCTCTATCACACACACACATACGCACATGCACGC